TTTTGGACCTTGTCACTCCCCCTATAACTTTTATTAATTCACCTCTTTGTTAGTCCATTATTAACACCCCTAGATGGTACACTAACTAGCTATTCATGTGTTTTTTTCTTCTTCTTTTTTAAAACATAGAGGAAAAGCCAAAGTTTTCATGAAAATAATTATGATATTAAATGGTGAACTAACATGCGGATGGTTACTCGTCTACACATTATTATATTAATGAACTAACATGTGATATGTGGATTAGGAAAACTAACCGGGCATTCATCCTTTTCCCCTTAACAACTTGAACGAGAATTGCTTTAATTTACTGAATACAACATCTGAATTAACTTAATTCATAACATGCATAAATCAAGGTAAGAACTTTTAATCAGACTGAATTAACGTAATTCATAACATATTGTCGATACTTTTTTTTTTTTATTTGATTCGTGATACAACATCTGTTATATATTCGTATTCGTGAAATTCTAATTAGAATAAGAATAATATTGTGTATTCATAATTTATACAAATTTGAATCTATATGTACACATATTGAATTTGAAATTAAATATATAGAATTTGAAATATTTCTCATAGTTTTTAAACCTGGCCCGGTGATCAACCCGGGCAGGTCCTCGGGTCACCAGGTCACCGGTTCAACCGTCGGGTCACCGGGTCAATTGCTGAACCGGATAATTAATTTTAAAATTTTTAAAATTATATATAGAGTACTTTTGTTATATAAATATACATAAAAGTAACAAAATTAAATGTTTTGTGTATAAAATTTGTATATTAAAGTGTTAATAATATGTATCTCATGATAAATATTTACCATATAAACATATATACATATTTTTATTTAAAAAAAAAAAACAAAAAAATATAAAAAAATATAAAAAATATAAAAAATATATATGGACCGGGTCAACCGGATTGACCCGGCCGGGTCAATGCCCCGGGTCGGCCGGGTTTTGACCGGGTTTGACCGGGTCCTTGGTTGCCCGGTCCAAATACTCCACCCGGACCGGTTCTGGCTCCGGGTAGACGGGGTCCCGGGTCGACCCGTCGGGCCGGTCTGGGTCTCAAAACACTGATATTTCTAGAATATAAAATTTTATTTACTTAACATATACATATAAATATATTAAATATTCTAATTTTTCACAACTTGATTTTCATTTGAACAACGATGGATAATGCAAAATGTTTAATGAATATCTCCCTCCCCCTATATATTAATTTAGAACGTGTTGAGTCTAAGTGGCAGACTCGCATGCTTTGGGATCCTATGTGGCAAAATTACATCTTCGTTATTAGGCTTGGATAGATTTTAATTTACTTCCAAACTAAAAATAATTAAGTTCAGATTATCCATAAATATGTTGATTATTTATGGTCATGTTACATGTATTAATTGCATTTTAATAACATTTCTTATCATAACCATTGAATTGTAAATACGTTTTAAAAGTTAATAACTTTTGTATTTTTTATCACTTTACATATATAATATATCAAATTAATCATCTCTTGATGAGCTTCGATTTAACATCCATATTGTATGTATAAAAAATAATTATATTTATCTTTATAACAATAATAAAATTATTTTTTAATATTCATTAGAAAAATAAAATTATTTATCAATTAATATATTTATATTTCAAGTAGTTATATGATATAAGTTTTAAAAATTACTATAATATAACACATGTAAGTCGAACAAGTAACAAGTGTCATTCTAAAATATATAAAACTCCCTCCTATTTTTAATAAATGTCGTTTTGAGAAGTTGCACAGTAATTAAGAATATTTTTTTGCCAATAATAACCCTCATTAATGAGGATAGAGATGAATGTTTTGAGAAAAGATGGAGAGTGAATATGAAAAGACGTAGTGTATTTATTAGTTAGGTGATGGTAATAATGGAAAAATATGCACAAAATAGCCAAAACGACATTTATTTAACAAATGATCAATTAAGTCAGAATGAAAAATAATAAAAATATGAGGGAGTAATATATATTTTTTGTAAAAAAAGTAAATAAAATTTAAAATAATTTTTCTCATTAATTTTAAAATTTAAAAATCTATACTTATATTAAAAGGTATCCCATTTACCAGATTTAGTATAAAGAAAACTCAAAGGTAATTAATGTTTGCTGGAAATAGAATGACATTAATTACAGATTTGTTTTGGTATTTATAGCTTGACATTAAAGATTTGTTATGGGATAAAAATCAGAACCGATTTTTTTACATTTGCTGGAAAAGTCAAATGTAAGTATAGATTTGTTTTATTCCATAACATCGGTTTAGTTAAAAAAAATCTCATAAAATAGGTTTTAGTGTCAAGCCTATAAATAAAGATTTAATCGGTTTTAATAAAGCAGATTTAATCGGTTTTAATAATTGCATAGAATTTCAAAGCTGTTATTTATTGTAATAAAATTAAATTCTAAAAAAACATTTGTGTATATTTTGTAAAATGTTTGTACAAAATGTTTTACTTTAAATTTATTTACATAATTTAAACTAATTACATTAATAAATAATATGAACATACATTAAATATTTTAATTACATAAAACAAAAAGAAGCAGAAGATTACATCTATAACTTATAATAATAATGACATTATACTACAATAAATTTTATAATGAAATAATATAAGTATTATACGGGGAACAAGATTATGTAAAATTGTTATTTTCTTATATCAATGAATAAATATATATAATGAAATCAAATTTATATTATTATAAACACGTGAGCGAGATAATATATTAATTAATTTACGGGCTAGCGCTATCAGACTCAGGTTTAATGTTCCGAAAAAAAATGACGTTGATAAAAAGATGTAAAAAGATAGATGATCAAACTCTATTATTTTTTAGGCCTGAACGGACAAGCCCTATGGTCCACTCATTTAATATCTCTCGTGAATCGCAGGAGCTACTTAACGGACAAGTTATGTGGAAATAACTCATTAATATTTATGTCCCGTACATCGCACGGGGTACGTGCTAGTAATTTTTTAACAAGCACTCGTGTAATACATGTGATGTTGTACTAGTTTATTATTGAAATATAAATGCCAAATACCACTCTAAAAATAAATAAATATGATGAGAGAGAAATATAGAAAGGCAGTTACAATGTGAGTGAAGCTATGGAGTATAGAGATTTAACGCATTCTCACCACCACATTGATACTCACGCCCTTCTCTCCGCCCCGCATTGCCATTGATTTTTCCGATTTTACCTCTCCTCCACCCCTTCCCATTTTCCATTTTTTCCTTTTCATTAACAATATCGCCGCCGCCGTCGCCGGAGTAATAGCCGTCGCTGAAATGACGCCCGTTAAATCGAGAGTCACGGTGGTCGGAAGCGGCAATTGGGGTAGCGTCGCCGCCAAGCTCATCGCCTCCAACACGCTCAGGCTCAATTCCTTCCACGGTACACACACATATGTAGTCACAAATTAATTGTGTTGCGTTCCTTTTTGTTGGCTATTTATTGGATTTTTTTTATGTGTATGTGTACATGATGTATGTACTACCAAAACTTGTATATAATGGCTGTTGGCTATTTATTGGGTTTTTTTTATGTGTATGTGTACATGATGTATGTACTACCAAAACTTGTATGTAATGGCTGAGTGACATATAGCTGCAATGATTGCGACTCATTCTCGTTTGGATGATTACCCTGTTTTTGATTGAGCTGGAATATTGTGTTAATCATGAGTGTTGTTTTGTTCTCTAATTCTGGAAATAGATGAAGTGAGAATGTGGGTGTACGAGGAGAAATTGCCAACCGGTGAAAAACTCACCCAAGTCATCAACAGAACAAATGTAATGTGTTCTTATACGGCCCAATTAAATTAATCAATTGTTCTTAACCTACCTAATCATACACTCATTAGTCTTGATCCCCACAGGAGAATGTTAAATATCTCCCCGGCGTTAAGCTTGGTAAAAATGTAGTTGCTGATCCCGATCTTGAAAATGCAGGTAATACAAATACAGTTTCATTTTGTTTTGATTTTGGAGCTGGTAACTATTTCGAAATTTTGGGTAAGTTAATCAGTAAATTTTGCAGTGAAGAATGCCAACATGTTGGTATTCGTGACCCCTCACCAATTCATGGAGGGAATTTGTAAGAGGCTAGTGGGGAAGATAATGCCCAATGCTGAAGCTATTTCTCTCATTAAAGGAATGGAGGTTAAAAGGGAGGGCCCATGCATGATTTCCTCCCTAATCTCCGATCACCTCGGAGTTAACTGTTGTGTTTTGATGGGTGCAAACATTGCCAACGAGGTTCTTGTGTCCGATTGTTTTATGATTATTCTGAGCACAATCCACTAGTTACGAAGCAATTTATAGGATGGTATATTAGTTTGGTGATGAGAAGATTCCTTTGTATCTGCAGATTGCGGTGGAGAAATTTAGTGAGGCGACCGTTGGGTACAGAAAAGACAAACAAACTGCTGACCAATGGGTTCATCTGTTCAACACTTCCTACTTTATGGTCTCGGCTGTGAGTTATTTTTTTTCGCCGTTTGTTTCTTTCATATTTATTGGCTGCATTTTCTAAAATTATAGTTGTTCCTATGATGTGGGGTCTTTTAAATAATGGCATATGTTAATGTTCTGTTTACACATTTGGAACTTTGGATGGTGCCTAGGTCCAAGATGTCGAAGGAGTTGAACTATGTGGAACGCTGAAAAACGTTGTGGCTCTTGCAGCAGGTAAAATAATAACTTGTTTCAGTCGTGTTTAGTTTATTTTCTTGAATCAGTTTTATCTGAGTCATTTTGATGCATGATTATTGTTATCCGAACAGGATTTGTGGATGGGTTGGATATGGGGAATAATACAAAGGTGAAAGAAAGGCCTAAAAGATTTTCTTTTAGTTAAGAATTTCAATCACATGCAGTCTAAGTTGTTGTACGTATTCTCCAGGCTGCAATCATGAGAATTGGCTTGAGAGAAATGAAAGCCATCTCAAAGCTTCTCTTCCCTACCGTCAAAGATAGTACATTCTTCGAGAGCTGTGGTGTAGCAGATCTAATCACAACCTGCCGTAAGTGTTCCCTAATGATTAATAACAGAAAATTAACAATTAAAAAAAAAAAAAAAGTAACCTCTTCTATTTTGAGAATTACCAGTTGGGGGACGAAATAGGAAATGTGCTGAGGCCTTTGCTAGGAATGGTGGCAAAAGGTCTTTTGATGAGCTAGAAGCCGAGATGTTACAGGGCCAAAAGTTACAGGTCCGGTTTCTTTCTAAAGTGGGTTTGATCTTTAGTCATACTATGCCGACTACATGATTTATCCAAAAATAAAATTTGCAGGGCGTCTCAACTGCAAAAGAGGTTTATGAAGTTTTGAGCCATCGAAAATGGTTAGAGCTTTTCCCTCTCTTCTCCACTGTTCATGAGATTTGCATCGGTCACCTTCCGCCAACAGCCATAGTCAAATATCGTGAGCAACCCCCAAAATTTTCAATCGTGGAAGGCTCTATTCAGCTTTTCTAAGATTCGCGCTTTAGTGTTTGTTTATATCATACATTAATGTTTTTTGGCCAATATGTCACACACAGAGCCAGGGCCAGCTGAGCTTATATAGATGGCTACTGCAAATTTTATGGTAGGTTTTGTTCTCAACATGATGACTCTGTGTGTGATAGGTTGAAATCTTTTTTGTTCCTTTGTTTTTAATTTTCTTTTTCACCAGTTACAGAAAATTACTCTGTTGCTGTTTTTCAGCATTGACATCTTGCTGGGACCTGAAATTAACAAAACCCTTTGGAATATTTATTTTCTTTCGTTCTGTCGTAACAAAGTTTTTTGTCATTGTGTAACAGTATGTAATCAACCAAATATATGCATATTTTTTATTCACAAATGTTAATCGACTTGATGTGAAATTCTCTTTTGATCTTTTAAACCCAACGTAACTTGTAGCGAGCATGTAAAATGAGAATCAAGTAGAAGAGGTATACTGTTTTTCAACATGTTGAGTGACTTTGTATTCACTTCAGGAACTGAAATTTGATGGGCATCGACTCTGGATTGAGAAAAGGGTGGAAAATTCAGAATAAAAATTTGAATCAACATCTGGGTTCACATTTCCTCTTGTTCTCGTGAAAAATCATCAAAAATCAAACATTTCTTGTTCACAAAATCCATGTAATAGACCTCGAACTGATCATACAAATTAAAATAGAACTTGTGAAGGAAAACTGGAGCACAACAAAGAAACTACACTATATTGGACTACGAAACATTTGTCTAGAATCTGCGCCTCGGTTTTTCCTCAGCCACACTGATTCTAATCGCCCGTCCATCCAAATCCTGCACCAAAAAAACATGAACAAAATCACATAGAAAGAAAGAAAGAAAAAAAGCAGATGATAACCCAAGAGCCCGAAAATATTCTAGTTTTACCTGCCCATCGAGAGCGGCTATGGCATCATTCAGTTCCTTCTCGCTCGACATCGTGACGAAGCCAAAGCCACGTGAACGCGATGTATTGATATCGTAAATAACTCTAGCTTCAACCACTTTGCAGTGCTTGCTAAAAAATTGCCCCAGACGAGCATCATCCACTTGCCATGGTAAGTTGGTGACGTACAACCTGAAAGAAGAATGGTACGTTCGGGGAACCCTTTCTGGTCGAGAATCTTTTTTAGTGGCCTTGGTCACGGTTAAAACTCGCCCGTTTAGATCCTGAACCAATACTAGTTTTCAGAAATCACTTGAAAATGCAGATTTTCACTTCTGTAAATCGATACGAAAAGGAGATGAGTACAAAATCCAAAATTAACGGGGTTTTAGTTGTTATGTTAAGCTTCATGTGGTTGTACGTACATGAATGTGTATCTCGTAGCTAAGAATGAAGTAAGATACTTTTGAGTAAAACCGTAAGTTCGCTATGTTTAGAGGTGTCGGTTATACAAGTAAAATACATCTGCACAACTTTGCCATGAACATTTTTGGACAAGTTAGATAGATATCACTGGCTAAATTAATACAATACTCTAAATATGAGAAAAAACAGAGCAAAAACTAAGAAAAAGCTCTTTGAATAACTTTTGCATTCACCTATCAGGCTTGAAACAAGACTCTAGAAATTTGTCTATGTTTTGTAACTTTGAACAAAAAATCATGAGAATCACCGATTTTTTGTTTCAGTCATTCAAGATCCCAACAAAAGTAAACAAACCAGAACACTCAAACAATCCGACCATAAACAAGGAACTAACAAACAACTCACATATCGATTGAACATCTTCAAGGCCTTCTCAGCTTCTTCCACAGTGCTCATAGTTACAAATCCAAAGCCTCGACTTTGATCAGCCTGCCTTTTGTAAATCACCTACAAGTCAGTATCACCCAGTTAAATGTGCCTTTGTCTTCCCTTTCACATGTTAACATCACTAGCACGAAAATGAAATCAAAACCTACAGTAACTGTGATATAAAAAATTTACACAAATTTCTTTTGTTTCTTTAACATTCTGTATGAAGTTTCTACCTATTTCCAACTGCTCAGGCCACAGAAATACATAGGCATAGAGGCCAACAAACATAAAGATAGTGCTAGAGGGTTGTAAACGAGTCGAGCCGAGCTTGAAGCGAACTATAGAAATTTATATTAAAAATTATGTTTTCGAGCATTATTGAGACGAGTCAAGCTGGCTTTCTAATATGAGCCTGAGGCCCACTAGTTTGCGTTTCATTTAACAGCTCTGCAGGACAAACTAAAAGAGCAGTAAAGCTTAAAAATCCAATCTTTGATACCTCAGCGACTTCAACAACCCCAGCCTGACCAAAAAGCTGAGCCAAAGTTTCGCTGTCAACATCATAAGGCAAATTTCCGACAAACACCTTAGCTTCCTCCGACGGCTCCGTATAAGATTCGTCCAAACTTCCACCGTCGCCGTCAACGTTATCCTCTGTAGTCTCCCACGCTAATGAATCAGCGGCGACATTAGCCTCTGTAGCACCATCACTTTCGTACTCAATCCCACTGTTTTCTTCTTCTTCTTCTACATCATCTTCTTCCTGTTGGGCCCAATCTGAAGTCTGCGCTACAAATGGGACAATTTTGAAAGGTGGAATCTTGGTTTTCAGTGAAACAGGAGAAGACTGGAAGCGAATTTGCCTCGAGGCGAGCAATGGGCAAGTGGGTTTGGAAATGGAGGTTGTGAAATGGCAGCATTCAAGCAATTTGAGATTAAGGTTAGCTGCAGAAGCCATTTCTTGTGAGATTACCCGAGTACAGAGTTGAGAGTGAGGGAGGAGATTGTGGAAGTTGAAGATAAGAATTTTAAACCACACTAGTTGAAAAGATGGGGTTTGGTTGGAGTTATCTAATCTGGTCTTGGTTAGTTTTAGTTAAGGCCAAATAATATCCCAGGACCCAAGCCCATGATGAAGGCCCAATTAAAGCCTCTAGATTTTTCGAATTAGCGTCTTGTGCTCAAAAAACTAATAAAATAAGCTATTCAAATAAGTTACTCATGGACTTTGATTGGTGAAATGAAATCTGTAATTTTTTTTTTTTTTATNCACCTCCTCTGAGAATAATGATGGAAAAATATTCGAGGAAAAAAAAAACAGATTTTGAAAAAGAAATAAAAAATTACAAGGATTAATAATAATGCAAATATTAAAATTCGTGTAAATAGATGATTGTTGAGGGTGTCAATAGTGAATTCTAGGAATTGTGTAAGGTGATTAATTTTTTCTTGAAATCTGTATGCATGGCATTGGTGAGAGAAAAACATGGCTATGCTTGTTAAAGATTAAAGAAAGAAAGAACAATGTTTTGAGAATTGTACTAAACTAACTGGACTGAGAATCTGAAGACAGTTAGATTAGGTGATTAGACGTGAACAGGATTGGTTTGTTGGTCTTAAGAAAGAAGATTATCAAAACCAGTATTTCACCAAGTGGAAAAAATGTAAGATAAACAATAAGCAATAAGCCCCAAGATTAATTAAATCTTCAAAATGATAAACAATAAGGCTCTTTCTTATATTCATTCATATACAGGTTTGAAGTTCTTGTAAGCTATGACAGCATAAAAAGGATCCGACCCGGTCAACAAACCCAACAGCCCCTTAATCCGACCGAAAATCGAGCTACTTTCATCCCCATTAGTATGAGGTAATTTACGAATAACTTGAGGCTGAGTGAAACCCTCGATACACTGAAAATACTCCACGACCAATTGCACGCGACTATAAGCTGTCCCATCTCTCCATGCGCTTACAGCTTTCTCGTAAAACAGCCGATTACTGAAGCTGACTATGAAAACTCCCCCGGGCCTCAGTATTCGAAAGATCTCAGCAAATACCTAAATTAGAATGTAAGTTCAATCAGTAACACACATAAAGCACCAATAATGTTAAGACTCAAGTAGAATCTAAAATCACCCCTGCAACTATCTTTTCTTGGGAGGGTGGTAGATCAAGACACACACACACACACACATACCCAGTTGAAGTCTACCCTTTTCTTGGACTATCAAGTATAAACAAACAAAGATCACAACTTTACACTTTCACAGCAACAAATTTTCTCTGTTCTTCAAGAATATTGAAACATAAGTTCATTTTTTTACCGGTAGATCAATACACACACATACCCAGTTGAAGTGTGCCCTTTTCTTGGACTATAAACAATCAAGATTACAACTTTACGCTTTCACAACAACAAATTTACTCTGGTCTTCAAGAAAATCGAAACATAATAAGTTCAATTTTTTAAAATGCAGACCTTTTCAGGCTGCTGGAGATATTGCACGCTCACGGTGCACAAAACAGCATCGAAACAATCACCCTCCATCTCAAATTCCTGCTCCTTGTTCAAATCCTTGACCAAAAAATAATTCAACCTCGGATTTCTCGCAAGCTCCTGGGCATTAAGCCCATGGCCCACCACTTTCCTGTACTCGACTTCCACAGGCAAGTGGCTTACCCACGAGCTCATGAGATCCAAGATTTCCATTTCCGGCCTCAGAGTTTCCCTGTAAAGATCAGTCAGATTCAAGATGAAGTTTTTATCGACGTGGGTTACGAATCGAGGGTACTCGTAGAAATCCCTGTCTGGATTGTTGTTCAGCTTTGTTCTGCTTTGTTGGGTTAGGGCCAGCCGCTTGATTTTTCCGGCCGGCGATGACCTGCGGGTGTTTTCGGCCGTTCGATTATTTGCAGGCGAGTTTTGGTGGCTGGAGATGATGAGCGGGAGAGAAGGTGAGGGTGGTGATTTTGAGCTGTTTTGATGTGAAGGGTAGTGCCATTGCTGGGGACTGTGGAGAATGGTGAACATGAATTTCGCTGAAATTTTGTCCACTGGAAAAAGAAACTGAGCAAAGTGGATAATATTAGTATGTTCTGCTCCGGTTAAAAACTTACTTAGAGCATGTTTGTTAGGCAAGACGGGATTACATAATTTTAATCTTTGCCCACAAGATTGGGGTGTAGAGATAAATAGGATCGCATGTTTGTTACGTGTGATTCAACCAAGACGAGACTATTCTTATATCTTGTATTGTGTGTTTGTTGTCCTAGATGGTAAACCTGATTAGTAGCAAATTTACATATTTGGCCCTCAACTTATTTTGCATCATTTCAATAATGTGTACACGTGTAATTGTCATTTTTCTTTTTTGCTTTTTGTTTTTGGTTCCGCATGAGAAGGGGTACTAATTTTTATTTTTCCCGTTTTCTTTACTGCTCTTTGCTAAAATGGTTCTATTTTATTTGTAGGACTTCTACAATATTTTTACCCCACACTGCAGTATGTAATCTTTGGTTTAATATGTTTTTTAGCACCCTTTCTTTTATCAAAGTTTTTAACAACACCATTTCGTTGGGATGCAACCTTTATAGTTATTGCAATACGGCCCATCAAAATTAACACTTTCTTCCACCTATCACGTACACGTAGATACCGTCAACAAAATAGGCACATATGGTCAGCTTTAGTCAAGAAAAAAAACCCACAAAAAATCCAAATATTGAACATGAAGAAGTGAATATGCAAAACCATAGCACATTATTGTTAACCCCACTTTCACTCTTTCATATTGTACACTTTGGTTAAGAAATAAAAAACAGTAATACACTAATACACAATTCATTCCAATCAACCACAAATCCAAACCCATGACCGTTGTGCCAGAAAAACAAGTATTGCACGGAATAAATCGGGACTTTTAGACACTGCAGCTGAAAAATAAATTAAAAAAAATTAAAAAAACAACAGTGCACAAATCAGAATCAACAACCGGGCATAGGCGAGAAGAAAATAAAATGAGTAAACAAATAAGATAACCTCATCCCCATCGCGAACTACCTTTTTTCTTTGGTGGAGAATGGGCTATTCGACTCGTTTCTAGATCTGCCAAAGTATTTTCAATTATTGTCGTCAAGTATATTGTGGCGTTGTTAGTAGGTGGCACGTAATGTAAATTAGGCGTTGACTGGGGATATTTCTTTCATGAAATATTACTTTTAAGGACATTCTAGACATTTTCACTTGAGGTACTGTGCAGATGGCATTCAATCTCACCCCCTAGCCAAGATTAATTAGTCCCCGGAAACCGCGATTAAACAACTTTGCAACGCGGGCCTTGTCTAGTCGTCCGGGCCGTAAAATGGGAAAACAAACGCCTGATTAAGGCCAGATTATGACCTCAATCCTGTCTGGTCTTGGGTAACAAACGTGTCCTTGAGGTATTGTTTGGTTGGGGGGAAAGGAGAAGAGGGGAGGGATTTTTCACTTTTCTCTTGTTTGGTTCATAAATTTAGATAGGAGGAGAGGGAAATTTTAAGTTACAATTCCCTCTCTTCTCCATTTTTGCTCTCCTCCAAAAGTGGTGGAATTTGGAGGGGATAGAAAATTTTAACACACCCAATTACAATTTTACCCTTATTATATATAATATTTAAATTTTTATTTTAACATCATTAATGATATATTTGTCATTCTAACATTATTTTCCCTCCCCTCTCATTATTTAACCAAACAAGGTTTACCATTTTTCCTCCATTCACCTCTAACAAAATCCTTCCAAATCCTTCCAAACAAGGTAAAATTATTTTACATCACCTCCCCTCCCCTCCCCTCCCCTCCCCTCCCNTGGCTGAATTGAAGTGTTAACTTCATTTTTACTTTTTTTCTTTTTTCTTTTTAATAATCGATAGTTATATTAATAAAATATATAATTTCATAATAGAAAGTAATTAGAATAGCTAAATTAAGTTATCAACCAGTTAAAAAAATTGAATCTAAGAATGCACACAAGTAGCCTAAATTTGTCAATATAAACACTAAACTAACACAAAAAGGTACTACTTGTCTTTAATCCAATTCTAAGTTGTTCATCACCTTGAAGAAAAGCCCTATTCTATTGTTTTCTTATTCCTTACTAGCATATCATGCCAATCTAACAACTTCAATTAGGATAATATAAAACAACTCCATCATAATGATGGAGAATAGTGAAAAACAAAATAAGATAAAACTCAAAACACACAAACTTGAACTAAAAAAACTAACTAATAAGTAGAATAAAATTATTTGAGTCTATTAAACAGCTCAGCACATAAATCTACATCACTATCACGATTCATAAGTATCAACTTTTAGTGTTTTGTTAGAATATCACTTGTGAGTTTTCCAACATCGTTCATACATGAAAAATAGACCCATTTTATAAGTCTAATAGGCTACTCCTCCTTCCACCCATTGGTTTTACCCTACTGGGCTTCATATGGGCTTTTCGCCGTTCATGGTGCGCTTCATGTTTAGTGGGCCCCGCATCCGTTTTTCCCCCAATTTTCTTCCATCAATTGGTTTTGGGATGGAACCCTATTGGACTGCATATGGACTTTTCCCAGTTCATGGTGCGCTTCATGTTTAGTGGGCCCACATCCGTTTTTTCCCCAGTTTCGTAATTAAATGTATTAATTTTTTGTAATTTTGCAATTCTATACATCAATTTTCGATGGTCCGAGCAACATATGTAAGTTTGTATTTTTGTTTATATATTATTAATATTTTTATAACACTTTTATATATGCTATTAAAATTTTAATATTGGCAATATAATTTAATTATCAGTTTTTTTATATATCCTATATTATGACAATTAAATTAATTTTTTTATCTTTCTTTTAATTGGCCTTAGCATTATTTAGAGAGAACACGTACACCGTACGCATGCCATCAATTCCTTCTCTCGCTTTTAATCTATACACACACAAGCTACCACATACAGAGACCCAAGAGCTTCTGCCTTCTACAGATCGAACTGTTGAACGTCGTCGTTTTGGGGGAGAATGTCGTACGACTATCTCTTCAAGTACATAATTATCGGCGACACAGGTAAGGCAACGGTGACAGCCCCCTACAATCTTCTCCTGAACCTTAGAAAAAAAGTTAGAACCTTAGTTAAAAAGTTGACCTTTTGTAATCCGCATTCGCTTTTGTAGGTGTGGGAAAATCGTGTTTGCTTCTGCAATTCACCGACAAGAGGTTCCAGCCGGTGCATGATCTCACCATCGGCGTTGAATTTGGGGCTCGAATGGTCACTATTGACGGCCGGCCGATTAAGCTTCAGATTTGGGACACTGTAATAATATTTCACCTAATTTATCCACTATTAATTTTTTGGATTCCTAGTTCGTTTTCATGCTTGATTTGGGGGAGGGTGTCTAAAGTGTACATCTTTATTTATTTATTTTGTGGGTTTGGGTGAGTTGACATATGGGCATTTGATTCTAGAAGAACTAGTTCAAGCCGATTTTGTTTGGGACAGCCAAAAGTGAGGTTATTATGCTGTAAACGTTGGAAGTTCTAAAAGGGGTTAGGGGAGGTTTACCAGTTGTTGAAAGTGGGTGTTGATTGTTTTATGATACTGCTTTTGGTTTGTATTGGAACTTCGTGTGAATCCTTATTTATCGTTTTTTTTTTTCTTCTTTTTGCATTTTTAGGCTGGTCAAGAGTCCTTCAGATCCATCACTAGATCATATTACCGAGGAGCAGCTGGTGCTCTTTTAGTTTATGACATCACCAGGTAGAGGAATAACTATACTCTTCATATGCAATTCCTTTACTCAGTTTGACCTGTGTATGCCTCAAAAACATTGCCCTTGTACTCAATGTATCAGCCATATGCTTAAAAATGAACTATTCTATTTCTATTTGGAGGATCGTGATATTAGTTATGCAACTTCGGTTTTTCCTGTCAAAGTTCGCTTGTCTAGACCAATATTACCCGAAGGTATTGTTGACTATGGTGTAACTGGTAAATGAACTATGCTCCAGTTTGCTTTCCGCATGATAGTTGGTGACTGATGTTGGATCACTTATGCTGATGGTAATTTGTTTGTTTATGTATTTTGCTTACTGGCCGTAGATGGAAATAGAATCACAAATATCTTTTTCCTTTGAGAGGGAATGATATAGTGCAATCTTATGTCATAGAATGTGTTATATTTGCCCCTCTTCATAGAGTGAGATTCTACATATGAAAATAAGTGTTTTTCCATTGACTGAGATTACTGCCGTATTTTTCTCAGAAGGGAAACATTTAATCATCTCGCGAGCTGGCTGGAAGATGCTCGACAACACGCAAACCCAAATATGACGATCATGCTCGTGGGAAATAAAAGTGATCTTGCTCATCGTAGGGCCGTAAGTAAAGAGGAGGGGGAGCAGTTTGCAAAAGAAAACGGGCTTCTGTTTTTGGAAGCTTCTGCAAGAACCGGTCAAAATGTCGAAGAGGTTCAGATCAAAGAACCTATATTTATATTATCTTTTACCCTTTTATTTTCCCTTTTTTCTTCTTCCCACTTTGATCTTGTACGCAGGCATTTACTAAGACTGCAAACAAGATACTTCAGAAGATTCAAGAAGGCGTATTTGATGTATCCAATGAGGTAGAGCTCTTGATTTATTGGTTCATTCTTTTTTTTCCCCCCTTAACAAAAAATAATGCATTTTGAGCTTTTGAGCAAAAATCTTAAACGCAGTCTACATAAATTGTAAACTGCAGTCGTCCGGGATTAAGGTTGGCTATGGACGGGCCCAAGGTCCTGCAGGAGGGAGAGATGGTACAGTTACTCAAGGAGGTGGATGCTGCAATTGACCGATTTATTTACTATGTTTTGCCCTCAACCAATTTCATTTGTAATCAAATCAATATGATCCTAATAGAAATGTACAGTTTAAGTGTCTGGACGTGTGTAAAATATGACATTGGTGTGAAATATTATTCTTGAGGAATCATTTTTTCCTTGTCAGTATGTTGTTTCCCGCATTTAGGTGCTCTTCTGTGTTCAGAGGTTTACATATTCATTTATTTCTGTGGGCATTATTGGGAAAGCATTTGACAGATGAATCACAAGCCTCTCAAGGGAAGGGAGTAAGGGCAAAATCTTATTGAAGTCCCTTTTCGCCAGTTCTTGAAAATAAATAAATAAGTAATCATCAGAAGCTCAAAGCAAGGAAGATGGTTCAATAAATATGACTTTTTGCAAAGAACTATTGTAGTTTATGCGACACCAACTGCCTTAGCAAATAAAATAAATTTCATCTAACAACAGACATAACAAAAACCACACTGTAAAAATTGGAGGCACTGCACACAACCTTGGGTGATTGGAAATTTGTTAGCTGATCATGAAGAGCCACCAAAAACCTGTGATGGGCATAGATTTAAGTTAGAAAACTAGCCAATTTCTTTCCACAAAAGCCATAAAATGGGATGAGGGGCAAAGTGAGGACTCACTCCAGACAAGACATCCCTTGACAATTGGGACTTATTTTCTTCATCTTTCCCAACTGGTTTTTTCTGCGGAAACTGGCGGGCCACTTTTGGCGTCAATTCAATCTTTTGCTTCTGCATTTGACAATTGTGTGCCATTGGCATCAACAGTTTTGAAGAAAAAAAAAAAGAAAGATGCTCTAGAATCAGCTTGAAGATGGTTATCCATTGACAACTATTGCAGGAGAATATTATATTGACCTCTTGGAGTTAAATAAATCACATAATAACCAATGCATCAAAAGTGGAAGAACACATTCGGTGTATTCACCTTTTTGAGCCGTTCTTCTATTTTACTCAAAGCTTTTGATTGATCAACTTTCGAGAGATAAAAGTCACGTTCTCTTTTAGCAGCAGATAGTTCCATCGCCAGTTTCTGTTCTCGAATAGCAGTCTTGTATGCTGAAAAAAGACCATTTAATCAGATCATTTGATTTCATATGTGCAGCCTTGCACATTTAGCAAATCACAATATTAAATGAGGTCATGTACCTATCTCTGCAGTAAGATCATCCCATTTGAATTTACTCAGATATTTGATATTCCATAAATCATAGTAGAATGATGATCTTTTCTTTCCACCTAACGCCCAAAAGAAATAAAATAACAATGAGAGTGTAAAAACACATGCCAAATTAGAAAATGCATGATCAAGTCTCTCATGCTTTGCTTACTTTAATATACCAAATTAGAAAAGTAATTGAGCCGACATACCAATTTGTTCTCCATTCAACATCCTAGCCACTCTCTTAGCGACTTTCTTGTCTGAGAATTCAACCCATCTGCATTGAAGAATACGACACATATTTATTAGTCCAAAACTACTACAGAACAAAGTCACAAATATCTATAGAAAGTACAAATGACAAGTTCAAAGCTTTACAGTCATGCACATCATCAATGTATAACAAAACAGGAGATTAAAAAAAATGCACAAAACATATGCATACCCCTCTGAGAATTCTTGTCCGCGAAACCCTCCCGACTTTTTCCGACGCACTTGCGCAGCAGGATCTGCGCACCAGAAATGGTTAACCATAATAAAAAAGAAAAAAAATTCCAAATATTGGTTGAAGAAATAACCTTCAAAAAAACAAGGCAACATTCTACAAGAATAACCAATAACCACACAAACATTGTACTATCATCCCATGATCACTCAACTAAATGAAACTAAAAAAAAAAATCATATTTTTCATATGAAGCAAACCAATCCATCCAATCCCACAGTAAAAACTATGAAAGCTCTTACCTTCAGGAGCAAGATAGAGCCTCTGAATTTCTCCATACTGAGATAGAATCTGGCGAAGCTTGAGAGGATCCATGTGAGGAGGCACACGGCTCAAATAGCACACACCCCGCTTTTCCGCCCTTTCAGCTTCCTTAAGCAGTCGTTTTTTCTTTTTATCCTTCATTTTCTGCTTCATTTTTTCATTCTCCTGGGCTTCTTCATTGAAGCCTGAGCCATCGTGGCTATCTCTCGCCACTGCTAATTCTTCCTCCGCCATCTCTAGCCAAATGATTTTTCAACAGGGCGATAGCAGGACCAAGCTAGTAGTTGGGAATCAACTACTTTAGAGCTCATCACAGTAGCTCAAATTATACTAAACATTTGAGTTTTTTTTTTTTTTTTTTTAA